GCATCTTCTTGAAGAGAAAAAGAAGTTTGCAAAATTGCAAAAGGATATCTTAAAAACTGAGGGACTTTGTCGTATATATACATACAGACGGACAGACAGACAGACGGACATGAGTAAATAGACTCAGCTCAACATATTGATTTTTTAAATATATGTATACTTTATAGCATCTACGACGCTTCCTTCTGGGTGTTACAAGCTTCGTGGCAAGCTTAATATACCCTGTTCAGGGTGTAATGATAGTATTAAGGACTGCGCATTTGGTGTGGGTTTAAAGTTAGGCCAAGAAGCAAAATATGGGCGAAAATATATATTTTTTCATCTATATACATAAGTTAACGATCCTTATTTAGAAAGTAATCTTTATACATTTGCTAGCAGCAAAAATTATTTCTGAATACAATTTTTGTCTATCTACTTAAGGTATAAATAAGCCACCTAATCAAAATTCATAATTCGCCAAGGTGCGCATGCGTGTCGCGTGCGTCTCTTTCAATGGCTTTTCTTCACACTTGGCGTTAGAGCACGAAACAGAATTAATTAAAATACAAATATTGTTGTAGGTTAGTGCTGCTGATTATTCATAACAGCAATAACTTGCCGTTGTTGTTGTTGCAGCCATTTTCCCATTCAAGATTTTTAGCACGTTTCGGTAGCGTCCCAAAGCGCACATTAACACATAAAAGGCAAATGTGCCAACAACAATTAGCAGCGCGGCTAAAAAAAGCGGCGTGGTAATGTTAGCAACACGTTGCTGGGAACATACATATGTTGCGCAACATCCACGCGCTTTTTTGCTTTGTGGTTGTGCATTTAGACTGCTGTTGGCTGCTTTGAATTGCGGCGTGCGGCTTTTTGTTTTATTTTCGATTGTTGTAGCGCTTGAAATTGGCTTTTCTTCTGTCGTGAAGACTGACGGTTCTCACACACACACACACACACATAAATAAATGTGCACTCCAACGCATGGTGAATTTTGGGGCCATTGTCAATGCGTTTTTTTATTTTATTTTTTATTGTATGTTTGGTTCGCATTTTTACGCGAATTTTGTTTTGATTAAATTGTGCTAATCATTTAGTTTGCCATTTCCATTGTTGTAGTCTTTTAATGACTGTCACTGGTGTTGCCCTTGAATTGTCTGCAATTAGATTTGCGGCATTGTTTTTATTGTGACGCATTATTCGCCACACTCACCGCTCAGTTACGGCAGAAACTTAGCGCCGCCATTCCCAATTACCCGTCCATAATTTTTTTTTATTTTCTTTAAAGATTTACCTGTCTTTTTATTATCGCTTTAATTGTATGTTTTTCATTGACATCAGATTTCGCGAAGTTTTAGTGATTTTCGGCCGACAAGTGTAACTTAATTGTTGCCGCTAGGCATAGTTGTTGTATTCGTCGTATCGAAAAAATGTCCAATCGCATCGACTCGTGGTCGTTTATTCTTGATTCTTTTTTTCACTTGTATTAACTTCGCCCAAGTGAGGCCACCGGAGAGAAGATTTTATAGAGGTTAAAAGTAATCTCGTCCAATTTTTATATTTTTTGTTAAAAACTGTTATTTTGGTATTTGTAGTGCTAAATGGTTTTTTGTTCGCTGGTTAATGGTCTTTTGATGCTCGCTAAATGTATGTCTGTATGGATAGATAAACATTTTTATTCTTTTTTTAGATCTGAACTAATTAAGCTGACCTAACTCACACTTAATCGGCGAAATCGTTGAACTTTGGATTGCACTTGTTGTTGAAAAGATTTGTTGTTGATTAACTTTGAGAATATGGACTTACAAAGTCTTCAACGTATTGGAAAAATAAATAGGGGGAAAGTAATGAAAAATATTTAGAAACGAATACTTAGTTCATATATATTCACTAAGCATTTAGTTTTCTTCATAGTTAGAAGAGGGATCAGATCCACTTCATCGAGCGATTGATCATAGAAGATAGTAGGTGTCCCTTTTCTATAAATCCTTAACTAGTCTTTAATGTAAATACTCAGCTACTTGCAGGGAATTTTAATGAGGTTGACATTACTCCAAATTACCTCAGCTCTGTTTAGCAAAATATAGGGAAATGATATTTTCTGGTCATACTTCTGTGATCAAATTGAAAGGTGAATTTTGTCTATTTCATCTCCTTCAAAGTAATCCCCTCCCGCTGCAATACCCTGATGCCAACGAATTTTCCAGTCATCATAAGACATTCTCCGTTGTGTTGGCCATCAGAACTTTCTTCGATTCAGCTTTTTTATCCTCAATTGAGTCGAAACGGTGTCCTCGAAGTGGTCATATGAAATTGCTGAATATCCAGAAAGTACACGAAGGTAAATCAGGCGAATGCGGTGGTTGCGGCACGATATTAGTTGAAAATGTAGAGAAATGTTCAGTATGAGAGGGTTCATTATCGCACTTCTTTGTTTAATAAATTTAGACAAAGAAAAAACCGAAGAATTCATTTTTAGAGTCTCACAAAACGACACGTATCTCATATACTAATGAATATTTCGACGTCATTAACAGTAGTATCACTTAAAATTACCGAATCGAAAAATCCATCTTACAATTTTATGTAGTAGTATGTTTAATTTCTGAAGTAAGATTAGAAAATCGAGGTATTTGGTTGAACTGTCATTTGGGTACTTAGCCAAAAAATATTTTGTGAAAGGAATGTTACCTAAATATTAAATCTACCATCAAAACAAGAACAGACGAGATCAAATATCCGACTCATTCTTCAAATGTTTTCTGATCATATTAACTTTTGATCTGTCCTCAGTTGAAAATTATAAAGCTGGTCCCAAGTCCTTATATTGTTCTGATATATGCACTATTTTGTACATGGTTAACTGTCTGCATGCTTAAAGATCCGACTGCTTCAATTTCTGTTTTCACGACAGATGAGTATGCGCAACCGCAGCATATTTTTGGACACTGTAGTAATAAAAATTTTCGGGTGCGTTGCGCAGATGTCCGATAGTGGCGCTTAAGTCATGCAGAAACTCACACCGCTTCACGTAAAAAATGTGTCAGGTAACCAAACACACACGGTTATAAATGACAGCAGTAGGGTTTGGCAGAGGTAAGTAAGGTAATCTCTTCCCAGCACATACGTGACGAAATATCACTTTCTCTTCTCCCGAGAGCATTACCAAAAGTGCAGACTTCATTAAGAAGTTCCAGGCTACCCTTAGCATTATGGCTGCATGAAATGTTACTGCCTAGGGATATTAGATTTAAGTAGTACCCCGCCGGCTCGCAAATTTCGGAGGGAATTGATGCAGGAGTCGCTGGACCATGTACCAAACTGTCCATATCTCTGGGAAGATTTTCGACCATATTTCAAACAGGGGTCTTTGCTTTAAGTCAGTGCGTAGATATAAACGACCAACGCAACCATTGAAACGAACGTATTGCTGTACTTAGCGACAGTTAAGCGGCACTTAAAACGATCTTTGCGTACGAGATCAAATTGTTATTAGTTTAGGAGTGTGTCGAATAGCTGAATAGTCTATCAGACCGTAACCATTATTGCCGTCGGTCTCATACCATCAAGTAGCAGCTCCGCAAGAATGAAGGAATGGGCAGAAGCAGGCAACAACATGGGCCTAGTTTCATGTGAAAATTGTCGGTTCTGCGGCAACTCCAGAACACCCAAAAACACAGCAGTCTGTAGGCGTGGGATATAGACCCTTGGAAACATGTTTCCAAATAGGGATCACATCGCCTCAATAGCAGCTGAGAGTATATTGGAATTTATCAATATGCTAGGGCTAAATGACTCGCAAAACTGTGGGCTTTAAACAGTGATCAGTAGTGAAACTCATCAATTACCACGAGTTGTAGTTAGATTGAGGCTCATTGATCACGACAAACCAAGAAATTAATTGAATCGAGTAAAATTACATGGATTCATATTCAAATAAAGAGTGTTGTTTAGACGTGATTTTTCAAGAAAATATTATACAATAATTTAGCTTTATTGTAAGAATAACGGTTCGCCTTTATGTTTCAAAAATGATTTTTTGCAACTGACTGCTGCGATTGTACGTATGTCAGCAACAACGTGCCGCAACGCGTGCCATGGCATGTGGTCTGTATAGGGCTTATCTATGTACGTAGTCCTCACCAAAAATTGCCATCAGTAAATTGATCGTTTCGTTAGCTGTATGCTGTATGTTGCAACCATCAACTTGGAGGAAGAGTTCACGCATGAAAAAATCTTTAATAATGACATTTATACTGTTCTCCATTGACTGTACATAATCACTGGATTCAATTTGGAATAAATATGGTACATATTGATGATCCCCTTTGATCTGCTTAGAACGCACCAAACACTGATTTTTTGAGGATGTAATGTCATTTCAACAATGACTTCCTGATTATTTCACCAACTTTTTGGTCCCATTTGTTTCGAAGTAAGTCTGTTAATTATGTAATCAAAATGAGGTTAAATCAAGTAACAGCTGTGAAAAAGACAAAGTCCGAAAAAATGATGGCCTCATTGTAAATCATACGTCTAAAAAACACTCGTTATCCGTTCCATGAATGCCAGAAAAATAGGAGTTTAAACCTCTGTCTAGTCTTGACTAGATTTAAATATAATCCTATTCAATCTTTCATTTCAGTCAACTTAACAAAGAAGGGTTGCTGAGATATATATATATAGTTCGGCCTTACTCGTTGCCTTTAAGGATACATACCCCAGAAAAGCGCTTAAATATATATTCCTTTTCTTCAGAAAGTCTCTTATATCCAATCAAATAAGAATGAATCTCAATGTGATCTTTTAATCACATAGTCAATAGCTACTGAATACTCTCACATTATTTATAACCGGAATCGTTGGAATTATAATTCGATATGTGATTACAACTACTTTATAAAACCAAATACCAGAACATTTTATCAGCTGAAGGGATAACGTTCGTGATGGTTCCAATAATAATAGGCAAAACATATACATGTGCATGACTACGATAACTTGCAACTCATACTCACCTCTTCCACCTTCTTATCGACAATGTTGGGGAACAGGAACCAGCCGCAATAGGCGCCCAGCGCAGCTGTCAGCAAACCCAACAAGCTGACGATCAATGACCAATGGAACATCTTCGTTGAATACCAAGGTATCGGGCCGGGGAAGAGACTCTTGGCAATTTTTGCTGTGGTCATGAGGAAGCAGCAGGGATAACAGAATGGCGAAAAGTTACTAAAGTTGCCCGACTTAGAATGTCACCAAATAATTTACACACACACAAAAACACAGATATGAATTTACTACGTGAACTACGTTTGCACTACGAGTACTATATGTATATGTATGTATGCATGTAGATATGTAAACATAAATTCTAAGATGAAATAGAGAAGACAATTAAATAGAATGCTGGTAAAATGAGGAGGTAGAAGTTTTGTAGAAAGAATGAAGATTGTAAACGCGATTTTATGGATTTACTTTGCTTTATGATTCAGTTATTAAATATTCACTTTTTCTATATATTTGTCCGATTTGGTAATTTCTAGAAAGCACTTTATTTGTTAGCGAAGATCTGCGTGGTAATTCAAACACCGTTAAAACACTTGTAATTGCGGAATTTCGTATTAATTTCACGGTTGCAAATACACAAATAAATTTCGTAGTTTTTATTTACTTTTAAAACTCTGGGTTAACACATTGTCAAGGTATGTATATATAGTATGTGTGCATAAATTGAAAAGGTGTAAAGTGGAAGACTTAGCGAAAAGATAAATAAATGACTCAAACAGACGTGCTTCTCGGCGATGACAAAGAGGTGGACGACAAACAGAGTAGATAATAAAAATATGAAAAGCCAAACAAATAAAAGAAAACTGATAATAACATAAAGCATAATGGAAAAGGGAGAAGAAGTAAAACTATGAAAAAATCACTATGAAACAAAGAGAAACAAATGTTTTTTGAGAAGAAAGTCTCTGCACAACTATATTGAAGATTGAAGATTTGAACAATTTTCCCATCAAACAGACATTGGATTGGTAAGAAAATATCCGAGATAATGTTAGAGTTTCCGAAGTAATTAGAAAAATCCCCTCCGCTTAAGCTGATCCCAATCGCGGCTTGAATCAAATAAGGTATGGATAAATGGTGATCCAAGTAGAGGAACTTTTTTCACGGATCATCGTTAGTCGTGTCAAGCTGTCTTCTTATTATTGTTCAGTATTGTTAGGTATTTCATCAGGAAAATCCATTATTGGATAGACCACTTCCAGCAAGCAGGGGAGAAAATATAGCAGCCGTAACTGACAATGCATACGAAAACCGGTCGAACTTCCCAAATGACATGGCTGGCTCTGTGGCCTATTAAAAAGTTCGCAGAAGATCGACATTTTAAGCCAAATTTTGTTCAGCGATGAGACCCATTTCTGACTTAATGGGTATGTAAATAAGGAAAACTGCCGCATTTGCGATGAAGAGTAAACTGAAGAGAGAAAACACAACAGTTCTGTGTGATTTGTGGGTCGGTAATCGGTCCATAGTGGCCGGTGAGAACGTCACCGTCAATGGCGACCATTTTCGCGCCATGATAACTGACTATTTGATGTCTTACATTGAAGCCTGTGATCTCGGTGATATATGGCTTTAACAAGACGGCACCAGTTCGCACACATAGCATCAGTCAATGGATTTGTTGAGAGAACACTTCGGTGAACAGATACTTTCAAGTTTTGTGCCGGCCGATTGGCCACCAAGACCATGTGTTAGACATAAAGATTTAAGGTCAAGAGATGCCGACAATACCGTTTTGAAATGTTCGAACAAATGATAGAAAGATAGACTCAATGCATGGACCATCTGAATAGTAGCCGCAGCCAGCTCCTAGTGCCGCTAGTAGTACCGCTGATTGTCTAATATTTGGCAGTCTAACCTCAAAATAGTTGGTGAACATTGAAAAAATAAAAACTCTCTAGGTGACACTGGAAACTGTTAGTTGATACTCGGCAATTAAAAAAACCATCCCAAGACAAAGTAAAAACGAATATCTTGCTAACATGTGACTACAGGGGGTCTGGACATTAAAAGTTTTGAAATGCAGGTCTTCGTGGGCTTTCAGTTGCAAATCCAAAGCAAAATAACCAACGCGTAGTACTTGGGACTATGTTAGTAATTCAGAAGTACAGTCCTCTCTCGACGAACAATGACCAAGTTCTAGAAGTCACTCATTATCCGCGTCCTGTTATATGATGAGTCGGCGTTACGAGTTTTCGAGAGAAATATTTCGCGCAAGATTTATGTTCCTTTGTGCATTGACAACAGCGAATATCGCAGTCGATGGGACGATGAGCTGTACGAGATTTAGGACGACATTGACATAGTTCAGCGAATTAAGAGATAGTGGCTTAGCTGGCTAGATCATATCGTCCGAATGGATAAACACACTCCAGCTTTGGATACCCGTTGGGGGAAGCAAAAGTAGAAGAAGACCTCCGCTCCGCTAGAAATACAAGGTAGAGAGGAACCTGTCTGGAATTGGCAGGCAATAAATAAATCGCGTAATCAGCTTCGAACTTCACCATGACCGAAAATATCATTTTAGAAAATATTTTTGCAAATCGTATCTTAATGAATATCCATTCGTATCGCTTTTGGATTTATAAGGGTCACCACGAAGATGACTTCATTTCGATTTCATTTTATTTCTTTTGCTAACAATTACTAATGGTTCAGATAAATGTTTACTAGCGACACTACTGTGGTGAATACCAATTTGTTTTGGCTTCGTGTTTACACTCGTGAGGATCACTTAAACTTAAGTATACCGTTCATCACTGTTATGCTTTGCTTACGGTTGTTTGCACTTGTATTGAGAGGTGCAACGTTTGCAACATCTAACCGCTGTACAAATATCCGGCCGCGGCGTAACTGCGTTGGTGATAGTTGTTGCAGTTGTCGTGTTTGCTGTTGACGCACTGAAAAGCGTTTCGTATGCGTACTGTTATGGCTAGCTAGTTGCATGCTTCAAATGAAACTAAAAGCATACGAAATTGGAAGTGAACTTGCACATCGAATTCGTGGTCACAATGCCGCTACCTGGCGTTATAAAAGATATTTATCAAAACAACGAGTTGTGCGGCGTAAGCGTGACGCCCGACCACAGCGCACATTCAACGGACCAACGGTCATTTTCATCCATGCGGGCTCGTACATCAGGGGTTAGGTATCAATTGATAGATTGTGTTCGCGGATAGATGATTGCCTTCACGAAAATAATTTGCTTTAACAATTGCATGTGGTATGCAACAATTATGACGTTCGATAAAATCGCTCATCATCGTTACTTACTTTCGTGGCACTCTAATTTGCGTATATTTTGTTGTTGCCATGAGTTGTTGTGTTGCGACTGACATTATATGAGCCATTGCTGATTGATTGCATGAGATTTGTGTAGGGCGCAAATGTCGGACAACAAGAACAACAACACCAACGTAAATGGATAGTGCGAACGTGATGTACATAAAGTAATGGATATTGTGGGTGTAGTTATGCGATGCTTTTACGTATTTGTTGTAGGCTTATGAGTACAGCTTGGCATAGTTACCGGTACAGCGTTTGATGTAGTCGGGAGCAATTCATAAGCAACTCATATACTTTTTGAGGTCTTAGGAATATATAGGGTGCCATATATTAGCAACAACAGCTTCTGTTTTTTTTGAGCTCGAATGATACTGGGCGTCGTTTAAGAGCATTAATAGATTTTATTACTTACTTTTATGGATTAGGGGGATACAGGGTGCCGTTTGTGGACAATAAGAATATATAATACAGTTTGCGTAAAATCTGTAGAGACAAAGATAATGTTTTATGAGTTCTTAGATAATTTTACTAGGAATTTAGAAAATACAGGGTGCCTCTTGTAAACAAAACTAGTTACTCGTACGGTTATTTTACAAGCACTTGAAACTGCCTAAACAATTTGCAAGGTATATGGAAAATACAGGGTGCCGTTGGTTGGGTGATAAGAACTTTTGTTGCTGATTGTGATGTATCTGGGGACATGAGTGAGTCATTTCATATGACTTTAAAAGTGCGGGTAACCTCTAATAAGTATTTTGAGGATACAGGTTGCCATTTGTGCAAATGAAAACTGCTGGTACCATTTTTAATAAAATAAAGGAAAAAATTATTTGGAGGATACAGGGCGCCTTTAATACAAATTCGAACAGCTAATACTATTTTGGATATATAGTATCAAAAGAGACCAAAAAACTATTAATTAAGCAGATAATTTAAAAGTGCTAGTGCAGTTTATGATTTATTACAGGGTGCCGTTTATAAAAACGTGAACTGCTGGTACAGTTTGTGATAACATATTATAAAACGAAAGTGAACAGAAAAGTATTTTATAAGCAGTAGGAGTAGTTAGAGTAGTTGCTGATGTTCTTAGAAAACAAAGGGTGTCGTTGATAAATATGGGAAGACCAAAAGGATCATTCTATAAGAAAAACTGTTGCTGATTTTTTTTTATGTCGTATTTTGAATACACAGGGCGAGTTCAGTAAGTAGTATGAGCTGCTTGTAAACTTTAAGTTCTATTTGGGGGGTGGCGCTTGCCAGTTAGTTGGGGTTTTAACCAACGTAGTATTTTATAAGAAACAAGATCTACTGATACAATTTATGTTATATTTGGGAAAACAAGTGTCTCAAAGGGCTTGAAAACACCGGCCTAGACACGATCGCTCTACAAAATAAGAGACCTTTGTATTTCGAGGCCTTAAATCGTTGTCAAATAGTGAGTTGGAAATTTCAAGCTCCAAATGTCAATTACTAGAGCTTGCCAAAACTAGTCTATATCAGTGAAGAATTGATAGAAAAACAAATAAATGGACACACTTAACACTTTACACGCAATAAAAGAGATGCTTTGTTTATGGTTTATAAAGAGGTTTCTTTGCATGCAATGTTTTTTTTGCCACACTACACACAAGTGTCTCGAAATTACCACTTTGGGAATAACTTTAGCAACTTTTTGTACTTTTTTGTTGTATTTTCTCGTTTTCTGGTATTTTTTGATACTTTTTTGGCTTATTTTTCTGCTTTGTTATTTTTCGTTTTTTCTTGTTACACTAATTAACCTTCTTTTGTGATTTAATGTATTTTCAAGCAATTTATACATGTGTGTATGTATGTATGTAGACACAACCGCACCACTCAACTAACATTGCATACCGTTTAGCGTTTCTTTTACGCGTAAATATAATCGTGTGTGTATGTGTACCACTTCGACACTTTGAGACTTAATTTCCACGTCTTCTTCCACATTCAACACTTTATTAACATCTCATTTGTGTGTGCGACTAGAGTTGAGCTTCAATTAAAACTAAAACTGCCAAACTAAAAAATCTCCAAGCCAAGCTGAACTGATTTGAACAACGACGCAGTTGACGCCAGCAGCGCAGTCGCTGCATTAAGGCAATGTCAAAAGTAGCTATGTATGTATGTGTGTATATACAGTAGTAATAATATCGAAAACTAAGAGAAAAAAAGCGCACAATAAATAAATATAACTGACACACATACATACACACATGTGCCTTCCTAATTGTTGTAAGTGCCCAAAACAACAACAATAATGCAAATAATCAAAGCACAAAGCGTGCACACACATGTGTACAGTGTAGCTGCAATCGCGCAGATCTTTACACAGATAGACACATACTCATACACAAACAAAAAATTACTTTGTAGCGCCCCTTATACCTGTGCAGCGGCGGGCGCCTCTATTTTAGTTTTTGTTGTGCGCATTTCAACTCATTTTGGCGTCCTAAAGGTTGTCACAACCACAACTGCGCACAAATACACACATACACGCACACATGCATGTAAACATACTTTTCAAATGCAGTGTCAGACGTCATCACATTTGTTTGCCGGTGCTTGTTGGCTCTGTCTCCGCACTCACTCTCTTCGGTCGCTCTCGAATTTTCGCTTTTGCCATTTTTGATCAGCTTCTTGCAGTCTTTTGCATACCAAAGTCGACCAATGTTTGCGTTGTCGTTGTTATTGTTGTTGATCGTTTGATGTCTTCGTTTCGCTTCATTTGTTTTTACAACGCGTTGATGTTGTTGTCTGCTTTTGGCCTTTTTGACTATTGAGCGGCGTCAACGTGTATATTAGAGTGGCTTTTTGGCTAGAGACCTTCGGCGGCGACGGCGTCGTTGCTCGTCAAGAGCACCTGATCGTGATATATATGTATATATATGTCATATACAAATGGTTCGGGTGTAAAGAGGGAGAAAAAAAATTAAGTCGCCAACAAAGGTTTATATATTACACATATTACAAAGATAAACATGGATGTAAGGACGTTTACCGTTTACCATTTCCTGCTTCTATGTAACAATTTATATATTTGTATATATTTGTATACATATATACATGCAAGTATGTATGTCAGTACGGCAGCCAGGGATTTTTTACCACTAACAACAAGCACGGCAACTTCTTGCTCAATTAAAGGTTAATAACAGCCAAAGACTTTACCTTCGAAGCGCTTGTATCGAGAGGATAGTCATAAGACGTAGTACTAGTATAAAAAATGCTTTAAGTACGAGCTTCTACTTCTATCCGCCATGTGTCATTTTCGAAAACTAGAACAAGTTTTACCGGAAGCTCTTTGATTGGAAAATTACTTTTGAAGTTTAAACATTGACCGACTAGTACTGATCGTTAACAGAGAACTCGTTTGGACCCTTACACCGCTTACGCGATTATAACGGAGTTAATAACAATGCGCCAGTCGTTGCTTTTTTCGCAACAAATGGAAATTCCAAGCAAGGCCAGAATTTTACACATATGGTCTTTTCAATGGAGTGCAACTCTTCCTCTTCCTCTGCTGCCCTCGGCGGGTACTGTCTCGAATACTCTCAGAGCTGGACTGTTTTCATCCATTCGGACGACATAACCTAACCAGCTTATCCGCTTTCTGAGCTATGTCAATATCATCGTTTATCTCGTACACATCATAATGACATCGACTGCGGTATTCGGCGTTGCTATTGCGCCTCTTGACTTGTAGAAAGTGATCTTTGTTCGTTACTTCTCAATTGCCTACTCATTCCAAAGTAGCACCTGTTGGCAAGAATTATTCTGCATTGGATTTCGAAGCTGACTTTGTTGTTGGTGTTAATGCTGCTTCAAGATAGACGAAATTATCTGGGACGACTATTTGTTTGATGACAAGAGATATTTCGTCGTGCACTTGTTTATTACCAGACTAATTTTCTACGCTTCTTTTTTAAAGTTGGAGCAAGTAGATGTAACGCAGCGGCGCAGCTATGGTATCGATGTCATGGGTGTACGCCAACAGCTGAACACTCTTATAAAAGATTGTGTCTTCTCGGTTCAGTTTTGCAGCTCGAAATATAACATTTTCTCCAGCAGTGGATTGATGTAGTCGGAGAGGTCCTACCTGATACTGACGGAGCTTTTGGTATTGTTCAACATCCAAAGCAGATTATTGAATCCATAATATGTACTTTTCTTTTTGATCTTATATTTTTTTTCCAAGATTTGCGTCATCTCCAGAATTAGTCGGAATTAGCATTAATGTTTTTGAAGAAATTTGTTTTTGAGATTTTAGTATTTAGGATTTTGTTAAATCATTTTAGCTTAGAGCTAAGTTCAGTGTGACTTTAAGAAAGCTCTCTCTCTCTCTCTCTGTATCTGCAGATACCCTCCTGGAAAACTGTAGTAGAAAGAGTGGTAGTCAGTGTTCACTCACCAACTTTGAATTATTTGAGCGAAAAATTTTTAATAAAGATTAATTTTATTAATATTTTTAAACAAAAAAGTAAATAAATTTATTATTTATTTGCATTTAGAACTATATAGAAAATTCTGTCTCACTAGTCTTCGTTTTTCATTCGATTTATTGAAACACATTCAAGAATTCTAGGAATCGAAAGTGATTGTGAATTTATAATGCTCGATAGAAAATAAAAGTGAAGTGTGCCAACACGAGAGATCACAAGGTCAGCATTCCCTCCTGTCTATCAAAGCAAGATAACATATGTACTTAGATACAATTATATCAGCACGTACTGTATATGTAAATAATAGATGTGCGCTGAATTTAAATTGACAATGAAGAAGAAATACAAAGTGGCGACTGTTGACACTTTGAGCGATATATTTGTGCTTATATTGGGATGAGTAAATGAAAAATGTATATCGATATACTTTGCATTATTTTCTAATTATATATGGATTATATACTAACGAACAAATCTGAGCCAAACTGGACCTGGTTTAAATAGCGCGCCCAAAACGAATCGGTAAATACTTTTTATAGATTGATAAAACCCTTTTTTATGTCCGTGAGAGATTTGATCTTCATAAGTCAAATAGTTTGTGATTGGCATCTGTTAGTTGATGACGCGATTTTTACCATGGAAAAAAATTTGCTTAAATCGTCAAGCCGTCGAAAACATGATATCAGAGAGATAGCGTAGGTTTTCAATATCTCTCATTTTGTTTAAAGTTTTGACTGCAGCGTCATGTATGACCGTGCTGCATTTTTTTGGCCAAGGATGAAAGTGACTCATTACTTAGTCACTGGACTTGTTAGAGTTGCTTCCGTGTGATTCTTTTCTGTTGTCAAAATTGTAAAACAAACAAATATGGATTCGTGCTATGACCAAAATATATAAAAGTCGGCTCATAAATAGTTTGGGTCAAATTTCGGCTTGAGTCTGCTACTATTTATATCGAATTGATCGATATATATCTATAGGCTCGTCGGCTAAGATAACAAGGCTAAAGTAGGATATCTATACCATGAGGATATTCGAAAGAAATGAAAATAATGGAAATCTTGAAACTTTTGTCAAACTCTCTCTGTGACGGTTTTATTTAAAATTTATCGATAATTCGATGAACATATCTATATAAATAATTTGATGCGGATAAACTATAGATATTTCCCCACAAAACGATTGCATATCGTATATTTAAAATTGGATAAAAGTTATCGATAATTCGATAATTAAAAATTTCGATATCAAATTTAAAAAATGGGATAACCTAGACATAAGCTAACATAAAAGTGTTTCAAATCTAATACGTGAATGCAGATAAAAGCAAATTTCCTGCACTTTTCCCTTCAGTAATAATTTTTTTATACCCGTTTCTAGATCTCCTTTCAAACATTTTATGCAAATATTTCTCTTTTACTAGAAAGTACTATTAATTAATTGTATGTATATCCACACTCAAGCAAGTACGCATCATTCGTTTTCAATGCATGCTTTATTATTTATGTAGAAGTGCCCATGAAATAATTAAAAAGCACTGTTGACCTGAATCCAACTCCAGCCAGCTGCTGTTGTACGCTCTTATAACTGCTCACACACACACACATGTAAACATGCAATGGCAATTCTTCATCATAAACAGGTTTAGCTAAGACAGACGTACGAAAGAGCTCAAAGCGTAGCGGCTGATAGCAGATGTGGGTGCTTGGCGCCGGCGATGCTCTAAGCCAGTTTCAATGCAAAACACCGGTCAAAGCTGAAATGCCTCGCCGGAAGATCTTGAGAAATGCCACTTAAATGCAGAAAGAGCAAAGCAAAATAAAAATCTGTTTGTAATAAAAGACCTGTTTTAATGTATTAATTAATGTTTAGCATATTTGGCTGCCAGCTTGATGGAGTCGGGGTAACATGGCGTATGAGCAACATTCATCTCATTTTAGAATGATTCTACTGCTATGAAATGTGGTAATCAAATGGTTCTAACCCACTTGTATTGCAAGTTGACTTGTATTATGAAATACAAAAAAAAACAAAAAAAAAAATAATAATAATAAAAAAATTTCAACTTTTATATGTTTTTTTTTTCTATTGTGGAACACTATCTTCCACATAAGTGTTTTTTTTTAGGTAAGGAGTGGAAGATTTTTTATCTCCTAAGAACGCGGGTAGTTTAAAAAATTTTTAATATTTTTTTTTTAATTCAATTGTGTACATATTTTTAAAATATGTATAAATATTCTTTTGAAAATTTATAACAATTCTTACAGTAGTTTTTTGTTTTAATTCCTAAAAATCGACATTTTATAACCTATAACTAATATATGATATTTTTTAAACAATAGAATATATCTTTACTATATATATATTGTTTAATTTTTATACTCTCGCAACAATGTTGCTAAAGAGAGTATTATAGTTTTGTTCACATAACGGTTGTTTGTAAGTCCTAAAACTAAAAGAGTCAGATATAGGGTTATATATACCAAAATGATCAGGGTGACGAGTGGAGTTGAAATCCGGATGTCTGTCTGTCCGTCTGTCCGTCCGT